ACCCAAAGAAAGATTGCAAACAGGGATGACTCCTAGACAAGCCCAATATATTTCACAATGAGATCTCTCCTTTGCTAACCACACGATTCACTCAAGAATCAACTCCCAATACAAGTAAATCACTCAAGATTACATGCTATTGAGAGAAAAACAGAAATCAAATGAGATTATTTGATTTCTACAGCAAACAAGAAAAAACTCGAAGCGGCGCAGAGAGGGCACAAAAAAATTAGAAGAATCTCGAAGCAAAGAAGTGAGTCTCTCGAACCCTAAAGGCCCTTCTAAATGGGTCACACAAGAGTCGCCAATCCAACGGCGTTGGAGATGACATGTGGTGACTCCATTGGCGTTCATTTCATCAGGTAAGTGAGAAATGCGATTTCATCTTCAAAGTACACGTTTTCTAGCACCAAACAGAATAAACAAGTAACTGGGCCTCCAAAGATTTCCAGCTGGGCTGACTCATTTATCCCATTGGGTATTAGCANCGTTGGATGTAACACGTGGTGACTCCATTGACGTTCATTTCATCAGGTAAGTGAGAAACACGATTTCTAGCCTTCAAACAATTCACGTTTTCTTGCACCAATTAAAACAACAGATTTTTAGTTAGCTGAGCCTCCATTGATTTCCAGTTGGCCCAACTCAATAAGCCCAATGGGCATAGCATCATTGTGCCACAAATTTCCCTTCAGCTACAATTTGGAATGTAAAGAAACCTTGTCTTTGATGATAATCCAATGGTCAGTCCTTGACTAATTTTGATCAATTAATTAAGCAAGACTAGTTAGTCGATTATGGGAGTTTGAAAATTGAACTTGTTCTACTCAGTATATTTCTCGAACCATTTCGGGTGGATAGAAATTAAAGTCAAACTTGGGCTACTTAAAATATGAAATTTATTTGAAGCTAGAATAGTATAAGTGGAATATTCACGCCAGGCGTAATATGTAACATAATATTCTATGATATATTTGATAGAAAACACGTGTCTTTTCGAACGAAAAATCTTGTACTCTGAGTAAAAATTGTTCAAAAAGGACGCATTATTCCAACAATTGTCTCTTTAAACGCACAACTTTTCAATTATTATATATAGGACTTGCAGTTACAGATTCATTCACTTCATTTTTGCCTATCATATTGCTGCATATTCACTTAAAATTATTTTTTATATTTATTTGTCTATGTTCAATATAAAGAGAGTTCATCTTCGCAATTTTGAATGTTTCTATTACGGGATGTGATTCTTGTATCTTGAAAGACGAGTGTTGTTATCTAACAGCACATGTACAATACATTGTTGTCTTAAAAAAAGTTCAATTCTTGACTCGACTATTTTCTACATTTCTAGTAAAGTTGAAACTTTGTAGATTTTTCGCACATAAAGAAGA